TTGTCTTGGATCTTGTATGTCGTATTGAGTTAGTTCAGGTGAAGCAGGGATCTGAGAACAGCAGGTTCATTTAGGGGTGACTGCTAACGACCTTCAGGCGAATTAGGAGCCTCAGATGGGTCATTTTACCCGCTTTTATTTATTAACTGGTGCCAGAGACGTGAGGTGGAAACATGACCATTAAAGAATCCAGGATTTAAATCTGCACCAACAAAGAGGACGGTATAACTTCCAGCCTAATAAAGCTTTTATCACACCTTTTTAAAGCAGATATATCAAATGTTAGTCGGGTTCTTATTTGTATAGTCTTTATATTTTGGTGACTATCGAAATTAACTTTAATCTATGAAATGATTCAGAATAACTGCCTGAGTAAGTGTCTACATGCATTTCAAGGTTTCAAGATTAAAACTTTCCTGCGTTGTTTAAAAAAAAAAATCAGGACTGAGATAAATGTGTTTTTTACACATTATGTTTAAGTAGGGTTAATATACTGTATGAAATGTATTTTTATTTATCAAAAGTGAGAAATTAAAGGAAACTGTACCGATTTTGTTTTATTATTACTAAGTTAATTTAGTCAAATAGTGAGTTTAATTGTTGTGTCAGTTTTTATGGAAAAGGGTGTCTTATGGAAGATATTTTCAGATTTCAGTTTGTCCAGTGAGATTTGCAGCCTTGGTTTGTCACCAACAGGGTTTCTGTTTTTTAATAGTCTAAAAATCCAAAAATGAGTTTCACAAATTAAAATCTTTGTTTTTGTCTTAAAAATTGATCAAGTTTATTTTATAAAGTTGCATTAAATTCAGTTTCTGTTAAATGCGTTTTGGTGGAAAGGTAGAAACGGATCATGCACTCATCGAAAGGTTGGTGGATCAATCCAAGGCAATCAGTCCTCATTCCAGATATCCTTGGGGCAAGATACTAACCTAAATTCCTCTCTGATGCATCCGTCATAGTATGAATGTGTGTGAATGTTAGAAAGCAATTGCATAGAAAAGTAATTGGAAAAAGTGCTTGTGAATGGGTGAGTAATTGGATTGCTCAGAGTAAGAAAGGACTATGTTAGAAGCCCATTTAGTCCATTTATTATAGCAAAACTACAGAATAAAGCCAACATGGTGAAATTTTGTGGTGAATCAGGGACGAGTCTCATTGTTTTCAAAACTGTCTGCTTAGCAAACTGCATTTAAAAACTACTTTGTATGTACTGCAGTATTCAGTATGTGTACAATTCCAACATATTTTGACTTTGTACTTTCACCTTTGACCCCCTTGCTGAGTGGGTCACAGTAGCCACCAAAGCATGCTGGCAACAGGCATCCTGGTACTTTTAGTGTGCTGCAGTATTTGGATATACATAAAACTTGTGTGCAGGCCATTTAGTCTCATCCACGTTTTCTCCCATATTTCCTTCCACGGTCACTCTCTGTGTCGTCACTGCAGTTTTTATTGTCTCTATTAAAACTTCCATGGTGGCAATGGTAAAACATGGAAGCTATAAAACTACATGCATCTTATTTTTATAAATCCACTTTTATCAAAACACACACCATGATTTGTATTCATTGTATTTACATCGGGTCATTCTTTAAATTGGGTTGTTAAATTCAGCTTTTATTTGACTCTGATCACTAACCAGGAAATGATTGTTTTAAACATTTTAAAGTGAAATGATATAAAGACAGTACTTTTGTTCTTTCTCTCTGATATTTGTACAGAATTTAATAATTGGGGGGAAATTTAAATGATTTTTTTTTTGTATTTTTTTCCCCTCTGCAGGTGATTCATCATGTCTCTGCCAAAGCCAATGATGAGGGGGTTGCTTGCAAAGCGACTGAGGTTTCACCTGCCCATTGCTTTCACTCTGGCTTTAACAGCTGCCATTGCATTCAAGGTGAGAGGATGACACACACTCAGGCGGCTACAAACACAACTCTGATGGTGATGCTAAGATAAAAAAAATGACACAGCCGTGATGAAAGGAACACATCAAAGTGTCCTGTCAGTGTCTAGATCCACTTACAGCTCAGCAGACAGCTGATCATATTTTATTCATCACATTTATTTTCTAGTTAAACTTCTTTTTTTCAGATCAGTTTATAAGATGCAATGAATCGTTCACTTAAAGGATATGACATTTTTGATGTTGACAAATAAATACAGTAATATAATAGAGGTTTTTTTTATTGTGACCAGTTTTACTCTTCTGCATAGTGAGTATCCTACTTTCACTTTTAATACTTTGAGTAGTCTCTGTTATCTCTGTAGTTATACTAATTTTACCTGCAGTAAGTTCTGTCATATTTTTGTTGTTATTTCCACAGTACACGGTGACAGAGCCCAAGAAACAGGCGTACGCAGACTTCTACAAGCAGTACGATGCCATCAAAGACTTCAACGCCATGAGGGAAGCTGGGGTCTTTGAGAGTGTGCAGCCCACTGGGAAGTAAAGCCACGGTGAGGGCCTCATTACTTGGCTTTAAATATTGTCATTTCAAACTTCGGTATCATATGGAGTGTAACATATGATATGATGGTGTTTCCATCAGCATTAACGTTCTGCTTTTTTTTTTTCCTGAAGATAATATTCTTAAGTCTAAAGCAGGTCATGGAAACACGAACTTTCATCTACGATATGTCGGATTAGCCTTTTAATATTTTCTGAAAATGATACGAGATGTGCAGATATTGAGAATTTATTATTACTGCAGTTTGTAACAACTTCTTTCTTGTTTACGGGCAGTTTCTGTGACTGAGCAGGGCTGCATATTCAAAGGAAAAAGTTCACATCTGTGGTTGGAACAAGAGACACAGCTAGCTTTAAATATAGGGAAAGTGGATCTGATCAGATTTATTGGCATGCAAACAAACATTACAGCAGCCATGTTTTCAAGAAAGTGTTTGAAGGCTGTCTGTGCATCGCTGAACAACATTGTTGGAAAGTATTTCATGTTAGGTGCTGTAGCAATTCTTCAAAAGAATGATGCAGATCTCAGTCTTTTAAAAAAATTTGGGGGGGGGGGAGAGTTAAATAATTTAAAAATGTTTTTAAAAGTCTTTTTTTTTTTTTTTTTTAACCACAGGCATGATCTTAATTGAATCCTAAACAAATGATAAATTCCATTATTCTGCAGTATTTCCACTTTACTCTTGAAGCTGAGTGTTAAGTAAAGCAGTTCACCTTTCATCAGGCTTTAGCTTCACAGCTGCACATTATGCATGAGTAACACAGTACATGGAGATGGACCATCTCACAATATTGCAGATGTTTTCTTTTGCAAGCTCAGATTTTGTTTTAGTGAAACTGTTACTTTTAATTATGAACGCAGCTTGGTGCCTGCTGCTGAGGTCCTTTGAATTTGTATGTTTTCTAAAGGCCAACAGCGAGTGCCGACTCTGACTGGAAATAATTCAGATTGAAGAGAAGTGTTTAGAAAAAAGACGGTTGGCTCTGTGGAGTTTGGTCTCCGAGTTGTTTAAATCTCATTGAATACAACATGATGGCCGCTCTTATAAATTATGGAGTCAGAAATGGATGATACAGCAAGGTTTGCTTAAGGGTGGGGCTACCATATGAATGACAAGTTGCTGCCCTGTGATGAGCATCACTCAGTTTCTCAGTCAGGTCCGCGCTTCGCAGGCACGTAAAGTTTCAAAACATCTGTGAGATGGTGACTTTACGAGCCAATAGGTGATGTCATGGTGGCTGCATCCATGTTTTGTATACAGCTTTTGTTTAATCTTAGATTTTTTTTTAATTTAAGTTTTGTAAATTGTATGTAAACTGGAATAGTACTTTATTTTATACTAGCTCAGTAAGAATAGTATTTTTTTATTTAAACAAAACGTTTGTCGTGCTCGTCAACGTGCTTACTGACATATCAAACCACGTGCATCTCTAATGTCTGGTTGTTTCCTTCCTCCAGCTCTGCTTCCCTGTTGTTCATTCCTGGTCTAAAAGATGGTTCCTCTCCACCTCCACCTTGACGTTACCTACTGATCAGATGTAAACGTCGCTTTGCTGTTTTTGTTCATTCAAATAAAATAAACTATTCTATTAATGATCAAACATCTGCCTTTGTGATTTATTCAAAATAAGCTTTGAACATAAACAATGACGGTGTTGGACTGGACTCCAATATTAATGAGCATCACATGCATCTTTTGTATCTCTGTATTTGTTATTGACTGCCTCACTGTACTGTCAAATGTTCTAATCGGTTTGACATTTTTGAGATGGAGTGTTTTGAAAATGCTTTGACATTTGAGGTGAAGCATCAAGTGTGCGCATTACAAATGCTGAGGTTGTGTCTACTGAAAATGCTCAAAGCTTCCAAAATCAAGTTCAAACTGAGGGTTATCTTATACATGGCATAAAACCTTCGAGGTTTATCTATCACCCGAGAAAGCAGTGTGATTAAAGTAAATCAGTGTAGACATTTATTCTCACAAAGCAGGAGATAGATACACCAAGTCATTACAACATTTCTAAACTTTATTAATAATACATTAATTATAATTAATACATTATGAAGAAATTAAAGAGATGCTCACTACAGAACAAACCTGATAGAGGCAGGGAGTGAACGATTTCAAAGACTCTGGAAGAAAGAAAGCTAGTAGTAAATGTTTCTAAGGACTGAGTTGGGAATTGTAGTCTCAAAGAAAACTATCACTAGACTTCACCCTATAAATGAAATTTAACAGAACTGTATTGAAGAAAAAAGGATGTGTGAAGATTCTGAAAGAAAATCTCAAGCAGTCAGCAGTAAATCTGTGTCTGGGTCTTTGGTCTGTTTTCCTACAGAACAACGACCCAAAACATGCCCCGCTCCAAACATGAAGAACAGAAACAGAATAGGGTAACTTTATATAATATTAGTAACTTATCATGTTTCGGTGTTATAATTGTTTTTTCAACATACTTGAACAACTGTCGTGTATTGGATGGATGGTTTCTATCTGGTGCCCCCTGCTGGCCGCGTCCCGCACTGCAGTCTTTGTTTGCACCGCCTTCTACTACACTTCCTGGTTTTTTCAGGTGGATGTCACAGCGGCTGCCAAACGGTCTGTCAAACAAGTCTAAAGTTGGAGGACGGGAGAGGAGGATGAATTCAGTGATGAGAATACGGCAGCTGGAAGAAACGCGCGGTGTGTGTGGAGCCTGTATTGCAGAATGATGACCGGACGTTGTATTTTTGGCGGATATCAGGCAGCAGCGGCGGCAGCGGGGAGGCTGCTGTGAGGCGGAGGAGCGGGCTAAGTGTCCCTCTAGCTGCTGCTAGCCAGTTAGCGAGCGAGTTAGCATTAAGCGGTCTGCTACTGTTAGCATCGAGTGTCTGCTTTGAAACGTTGGCCAGCTCCCCCCGAGTTTGACTGCAGGCCAGAAGATCCAGAAGAGTCTGGCTCTCCTGAAGAGGATATCATGGACTACAAGGACAAAGTACAGATGAGGCATAACCCTCGCAGGTAAAGCTATGCTAAGAATGAAAACAGGCTTTTTGATGGCTGGCATCTCATTGATTTTATCAGTCTAACGGTAGCAGTCGGTGAAGTTTGTCAGTGGGGTGGCAATCTTCCGGCCAATTGGTATCTATTCAATGAGGCTGTAGCATTACATAACCGACTGTACGATAAAACAGACATTAAGTTAAAACGACTTTAAAGCTTCTCCATGTCCCCTGTAGTCTTCTTATGGGTAACTTTAATGGATCGTGCTGTCCTACATGTAGTTTATGTCTTTAAAGAGTGTTCTGATATGTTGTTCTTTCACAATATCCAGAAATTGTAACAAAAAGTCTAAAGTCAGTCTTACGATTCCTTAAGATCTTAAACGTTTCTCACCTAAGAAGCTGCAAACAGAACTTTTTTTGTCTTAATTGATTAAATAAATAGTGGCCTGTCAGTACGACGCAATCCCAGCTCTTATTGCATTAACCAAGCCGCCTGTGTACACTTGATCTGCTGTGTCAAATCCTTGGGCTTGTCACCATCAAAGGCCCAGTGATCTAATTTAATGCCGTAAATCTCTTTGAAGATCTCGGATTATCTGCTTTAATCTCCAACAGGTTGTTACTGAATCAGCTCAGAGTCAATAAAACGCGCAGTAATTCTAACAGAAGAGCTGTGTGTGTGAAACTTCGTGTGAGTGTGTGGGGTGTCCACAGCACTGGGTTTGTGGCAGGTGGAAAGAATGATACAGGGGTTAGAAGAACACGTTTTAATGAAATGAGTGTGATTCATGCGGGGCTTTGTTGCTCCTGTGTGTGGCTGCTGTGTCTCTGCACCTGCAGATCTTTTATTTACACTGCAGATAACCTGATTCAGATATGAAGTTGTGAAACGTGTGATAGTGTGACTAGGCTTTTAAAAGGAAACGGGTATAATTGTATATGTGCAAAAATATGTAGACAGGAGTGGCTTAATGTCCTGTTCAGTTAAAGTTGTAAATATAGGTAAAAATTGCTTTTCTCTGAGATTCTAAATTTAGATTAGTTTTAGTCATTATGTGTTTGGTGCTATGCCCATAAAACTTGTACCAATTCAATTGTATCCAAATTAAATGTTTTCCATCCACAATCCTTCGGCAGGTACTCGCGATATTAAATAAGCTATAAAATACCAAACACATATAAAATACAAGTCATGGTGGTGTAAACATTCTTCAAAACCACAGTTTAGTTAATGCGTTGGTTTCTCGAGATGAATAACAAAACACAGGAAAGTCTTGGTTGCCTGATCAGTTATTCATGACCAAAGAAAAAACCCTCCATTATGATGATGTATTTGCAGTTCACTCGTTTCCTGAGCTGTCCTTAAACGTCACAGCATTCACTTGTCTAGTTCCACTCGGGTATTAAGGTACAGGAAGTTAGAGCTTCGATGTGATATTCTGGCTGTTTGTATCAAAGTCTTAGTTTCTGTAGAATTACACCAATATAAAGCACATAAAAAAATTAACTGATCAGCCGAAAGTGACTAAAATCTATTGTATGGAAAACATATTTCAGGATGCTCTTGTTTTGGCCTTATACATCTCCTTTCTTTACCTTTGTCCCTCTCTTGTGCCAAACAAGTTCAGATTCGCTCCCTATTAAGCTGTGGCATGTTTTGTTCAGTTTGTTTGAATTATAATTTAAGTTCAGGGAAAGCAGTGCATCTTTTCTTATTTGAAATGTAACAAATCTACAATTTTTCTAAAGCCTGAGTAATCGTGTTAAATAGCATCAGCCAAAATAACTGATTGTTTTCCATTATTGAGCAGCTTTAGAGACATTTTCACCATGAAACACCATAAATGCTAAAAATAAAAAAGAGAAGAAGAATAATGAAAACTAAACAACAAACTCTTCATTACAAATGCATCCTGTTTTTTTTCTTTCCTCGCTGTCATCACTCTGTATGTTGATGTTGAACAGACGTGAACTTGTTTGTTGTGGGAACTGGTTTGTGAGCTCGGCGTGTTTGACAGTAGGAACTGAGAGGTTCCTATTATCCCCTCTTATCAGGAGGATGCTGGTAAAACTCGCCGCTCTTATGTTATCATTTTAACTCACTCATCCACTGTTTCCTCATTGCGTTGACGTAACGCAGGACTTTTGTGTTGGTTTCATCCCTTGTTATTGCAAGACTGGGTTAGACTTTGTGTTCAAATATAAAATCATGTTTGTATATCCTGATGTATTTCAGTGTCACCCTCAGGTGTGTGGGGGAGTCACAGTCGTGCTCTTTTAAATGAATTATTAAATAAATACTTTTATGGGGCCTTCCTCTGCAAATACCGTAATAAGCAAGTACTTTGTGCAGATCAGTAACAGGCTAACAAAATCCACTGTTGCTGTACTGAGTTTGTCGTCCTGTGGATGGACTCCACAGTCTTGCCCTGCAGCTGCTGATGATAGTCGTCGTTTGCTCTGCGAGCTCAGTGCGGTGGTACATGACTCTGTTCTCCACCTGTAACCTGGATAAAGAGACCCTGTAGAAGCAGCTGAATGACACTTAGGGTTTTATGTTGCTTTTACTTTATTTTCATCGTCTCCTGAAGCAGATCACCTAAACCCATCCAGTCGAATATTTTCTTAGCTGCTTATTCAGTTTGCAGTTGCAGGGAGGCTGGTGGCTGGCAGACTAGGGGTGGGCGATAGAAACGATATACGATAGAAACGATATAAATTTGGCCAACGACAGAGATTTTGACTATATCGCTCTATCGCGATAGCGCATGTTGATGATGTCATCAAGCTGCACCTGTTTTGGTCGAAAGCATCGCAGAACCATTATCATCTGCAAATTATGCCGGGCGACAGTCATAGCAAAGAGATGAAGCACTTTTGAAATATGGGGAAATCCAAAAACTGCGCTTCCTCCACTTCCGTAACATTGATTCATTAATGTTGAATTCTCTGGCAGCTGCTCTGTTCCCATGTTGTTGCAGTATATTAATAACTAACCTCGTATTGTGGATGAATAATCTCAGTTGTTCTCCTGACTGAAGTTTGGCCTGTGTATAGCATCAGTGAAGCTCCTCACTACGGCAGTAGTGGTGGTAAATTTGATTCTTTTTACTGAATCGAGTTTTAATGAATCACTCACCAAAGTGAATCGGGTTTTTTGAGTCATTTGATTCACTGAGTCAGTCGACCAGAGAGTGCAAAAATGTACATTTTCACTCAAACTTAATTTGTTTCTCTTTTCATGTATATCTTACTGCTAAGATGAATGATTCTAAAAGAAATCAACTATTTTATAGAGCAAAAAAGAGCAAACACATTTCTAAAATTAAGCAATTTCCTATCAAAATTGCTTAATAAACATTTATTTTGTTTATTTTTATTTTATTAGTATTTTCCTTAAATGTGTCAAATATATATTTTCTCATCTAAATGTCCACTGAGCTGTGAGCCAGGGGGCGGTAATGCGCCTTAACATTGGTTGCCAACCAAGAAAAAGATGAAGCTGTGAGCCAGGAGGGAGGGGTGAGTGAGTGATTCGCTTACGCTTACGAATCAGCACAGGAAGGGAGGGGTGAGTAGCTCAAATGTGCTGTTAGCATGTTAGCAGAGCGATGCTACTGTGAACCGTGGAGCTATTGTCTTGATGTGAGCTTCTACTCAGGGTTTTTTCTTCCAGTTCAGAGCAGACATTTTTTTTGTTAAGATACTGGATGTTGTGTTTTTCCCCACAGTTGTAATTATAAGCTAGATATATTGCTTCTAACAGCAACAGGGATGAGTCAGTGAGTCAGTTGGGCTTGTGAATCATGATTCTCGAGTATTGAACGATTCGTTCATGATTCGCGCATCACTATACGGCAGTAATGCTCCGACAATCCATCAAGCAGTGTGGCTTACCAAAGTTGTACTAAAACATTTTTTAACAGATTTCTTCACCCCCAAATTGGTTAGAGGTCAGTAAGCACAACCAGGATTCATACATAAGGCACACTCTCGATTTTTGAGAAAATTAAAGGATTTTAGGTGTGCCTTATAGTGTGGAAAATACGTTATACAGAAGAAAAGAATATATCGTGATATATATCGTTACTAGGGCTGCCACAAACGATTATTCTGATAGTCGACTAGTCACCGATTATTTTTGCGATTAGTCGACTAATCAGATCATCATCCATTGGACGTAAAACTACAGCTTATTGCACCAGCAGCATCTGCTCTTATATAACTATCATTAGCTTACAGCTTTAAGTGTTTCAGGTCTGTGCTAACTAAAAATAAAGACAAGATGATAGTTTATTAAATTTTAATGAAATCTGCAGATTGTTTCGGTGAAGTTTAATAAACTCCTTGCTATCTAAAACATAACAGGACACCGGAGTATATTCTCGAGCATCTCACACTTCTGATAATCAGCTGTCTGCTTGATGTTTATTCAGCTGTGTAAAAACTATAACTGTAATCTCAGCCAAACCGATTTGCTCAGGAACAAATAAAATACTAAAAAAAGCCAAACAACAACATTTTGAAGTTATCTAAGTGACTTATATATATTTAACCTGAGTAGCGAAAGATGGCGGTGGGTTTGAAAATGATTTGCCGGGAGTCCGGTGTTCTCACGGCTTGCGCCCGGCTAGCTATCGAGCTAGTGGGTAACAGATGTCTCCGAAAACATCGGAGCGCTTTTGAAAATATGTGGTGTCTTGATAAACTGAGCAGAGGAAATAGATTTTATAAGTAATGATTGGAACAATACTGGTCCATGTAGATGTAAAAAGCTACAGTCCTGTTTCATTCCTATGCTTAAAAAGACCTGGCACCATGTTTTTAATGCTCATCAAATATAGTTGGGGAAGCAGGTCCTACTGTGTGTGTCTAGTTTCTGGTAGACTTTAAAAAGGGTCTTTAAAAGAAACGTAGCACTTTTTAGACACAAATATTAGTGTTATGCTTTTAAATTAACACTGTCCAGTAATGTTACTGATGGGTACGATGATACATTTCATATTTTATACTTAAGTATATGTATATTAATACATATACTTACTGAATATACAGAGTAGACTCCAGGGTTGGGCGAAATGTAAAAATTTTCCAACCGGCAGTCTCAGTAAGAATACCAGCAAATATCTGCCTGAGCCTGACGTGGCCCCAAATGACAGGAGACAGGCTGTATGTGACTTCCACCGAGCAGCGGGTCGGCCACATGTGGTCTAAATGTCAAAACACACATTTGACATCTGGCACACACGAGGCAGACGTGTGACGGAGTTGTGGCTGACAGATTAGAGGAAACATTTGGGCCAAATACATTCACCCCTGTTTAACATTGCTTTGATCAATTTGATACACGTTGAGTTTTAATAAAAAAACGTTTTCATTGTTTTTAACGGTGTCTGTTATTCATGTTATTAATATGTAATGTCTGCTGGTATTTGTTAGCATCCTCTTATTTGTGGGATACTTGGGATAAAACTTTCACGCGTGTGTGAAAGTTTTCATTAATCACCATCACAGCTGCTTGCCAGCCGCTTTAAAAAAAATGTAAACACAAGGTTTTCTTTCTCAGTGTTTTAATAAATATGGAAGAATATTATAAGCAGACGTTGGTAGTGAACAAATCAGTCTGATCAGTCGGACTGTGACTGAATTTCTAGAGGAAAAATAGACATACTTGAAGCATATACAAGGAAAGGAGATTTTAGGTTTAAAGATTTTAAATTTAGGAACAGGAGTCCAGGTCTTTTGGCCTCAGCAGATCCACACATGCGTTTTTAGAAGTTCACTTGAAAAGCAGATCATGGGCTGCTGTGGTAGATTAGCATCTCAATGATTTGCTCTCACTCTCTCTTTTGTGGCTTGACGCTGATACACTGGACAGCTTGGCTTACTGAGCTGTGCTGGGCAGTGTGAGGTAGAGAATGTGGTTTGCTGGCTTTAGACAGGCACAGACTCACAAATCAGGCTGCCTGAGACACCGAGAGAAAGACCGGCTCTCAGCGTCCAGTATGTTCTTAAAGAGATGTTCTCTGTGTTGTAAAGACTTCTCTGCCATCTCTGCTGTTTTGTTTTTGGATTTTATTCTTATAAAAAAAATCTTGTATGATGTTTTTTGAGCTCAGACCATAAAAATCATTTTCACACTTCTGATCTGCTCCAGACTTCTTCTGGTCACACGTCACGCGTCCTTAACGTTGCATAAAGTTTGTCGGTCAGGTTTTTGTGTAATCCCGCTGATGAATGCACACTTATAAAAAGGGCAATAAAACACATCTCTGTTTACTCTGTAGATGCAATAACAGTCACCATTTGTAATATCAGGCCTCATAATTCAATCTAGAGCAGATTAAAATGGAAATAGTCCTCATGTGTTCATATCTGAGTGCTGTGTTGGGCCGAGTGTTTGAAATCGGTCAGTGTTATTTGTGGCTAAAGAAATAAGATAAACCTTTTTGTTTAGAGTCACTAAGAGGCTCAAACTGCACTAACCCCTACTAGTGTTATTTATTATTAATTATTTATTTATACTTGAATGTTTATTTCTACAGAGATAAGCATGCAGTATGAGCCCTGGAACAACACACAGCATTTATTGCTTTGGCTTTGCAGTGTCCCTCAGACGTCAATAATAATCATTAAATACTATAAATACTAATCCAAATACTCGGAACACAAAATTTAGACAAACACAAGTAACATACAATGAGAGAGGAGGCAGCAGATTATTCAGGATATGACTCGGCTGGATCTTTGGTCAGTTGTTTTTAGAATAAATGAGACCTGCTCTCACTGAGTTGGATTTAAATTCTCTCACAGAAGTGTAAATACAGTCCAGGTAAGTTCAGGTATACGCTTGAAGTCTCAGCACAGAAGCCAGCTACCGTTTTTTCCCTGTTATTACTCAGCAGTAAAGTAATCATAGTTTATTTGCCCAAGCAGAAGCTGTCACTCTGTTTTACAGCTGCTGTGATTCAGAGTCTCGGAGTCAAGGCCATCATTATTACTTAAATCATAACATTCCCAACAGCTTCTAGTTAATAGAAAAGATTCTGAGTTGAAAACGATCTACTGCTAACCGATGTTGCTCCACTATTTTGTGCTTTTTTTCTAATAATATTAATAAAAAGAACGGACCTGTTCAAGAGTCTTTTACACTTCCCTTACTGTACTAAGTACTTGTAGAAAAAGTAACTTGTTACAGAACTTGATCTGTTTAATTGCCTCTTAACAATCTAGAAATAAACTTTTCATGTCTCCACAAATAACTAGAAAATCTATAATCTTAGAGTAACAAAGACTCTTTGTCATAATTATATCAGGTCAAACAAGTGTAGTCACTCCTCAGAGGCTCGTTGAACATCAGTAATCTACTTTGTTGTATATAAAGTATAAATTGTGGAGAGAGAGAGAGAGAGAGAGGATTGATTGATTGGGGGTGCAATGATACACAAAATTCACGGTATTTTGTCAATACAAAAAAATGTTTAATTTGTCATTTATTTAAATTCTAAATATATATTTTAACTCAGAAGTACAGTTTTTAAATGTAATGTTGTTGAAACAACAAAGTAATAAAAAAAATAAATCTATCTGATTGAGGAATCACTCATCTTTATTACAGAGAAATGGCTCTTTCCAAAATAAAAGCTATACTATACGCTTCTTCTGGGCTATATTCTCAGCAGCATATTAAACATATCAGGTCCCCATAAGGAGAATCCTGTGCTAACGGCTGTCTAAATGACTCTGGTAAAGTTTGTAGCGTGCTTGTTGTTTTTGTCTTTGCACTAGGATGATGTCGGCGTAAATGTGCAGTCATATTCGTTGTGTTCCCACTAGTGTTGTTAGCGTAAATCTGAAATGACGTTAACGCCACAACACGGCAAATCTCCGTTAACGAGCTACTGCACGATCGCCCCGTGCGTGGGGCTGGACGCCGTCAACACGTTAACGAGCTAACTGCGCTTATGCACTAGTTCCCACCCATGTAATTGAGCATTGCGTGGCACATCCAACATACTGTTTTACTTTAGTCCATGACGCGCTTACCTTCAGGGTCATACCTCACATGAAGACCAAAATAGTTCCAAACGCCAGATCTGAATGAGGGTGGGGGAGGTTCAATTTGCCATGTTGCAACGAGCTTAGCTTCTGTCTTGCTAGCTTGCGCTGCGCTCAGTGGATCTGCGCTCGACAGTGCAGCCTAGGCGGAGTAGTCGAACGCAGATCCACTGAGTGCTCAACACAGACAGCATCGTCAGAATAAAAGTTGATAAAATAAATTAAAAATTTTGTATTGTTCATACATATGCGTACCGAAATGAAAGCACTGTATCGAACGGTTCAATATCAATACGAGTATCGTTGCACCCCTAATATGTAGGTGTATTCATCTGCTTATCAGCAGGAGTTCAAAGTGACCCTGTTTTTGTAAATTAATGCCAATTTCAAAAAAAAATTAAAGTGACCACATTTCATACTAAAGCTTGCATGTCTGGGTGTTCCCTTTATAATATCGTGATAAGCACGTCATATTAGCATTACTTAGCCTAACTTTAAAAGTAATGCTATTATAACATAGTATTGCATTTTTATTTTATTCCCATGGACTTGTGAGCAGAGGATCTTCAGTTATCCTAAAATATCTCATCACAAGCTGCATCTGGGACATGTTGCATCTATTTTTGTTTGCGTAGAGATATTTTTGTCTCTTCAGTTCAAAGGTTGTGGAGATATTTTAATGTTTCAGGAGAGAATGAACGTGATCAGTGGCACTCAGAAGAAGGCTGAATTCAGTAATAAAGTCTTCTCTCAGATTACACACATGCTTTTGTTGGAAGGAAAAAAATGTATTTACTGTTTTCATTACTGCATAAAATGTTGGCCTTGAAATGTTAAGCTTTTAACATGTTTTTATCTTGAGGGTGGAAAATGGAACAAAAAATAATCATAATAATAATAAAGATCCTGCACCAAATTAATGTGTTTACAATTGTTTTGTTTTTTTTTTTACTTTCAGGTGTTAATTACTGGCACGCTCTGCAATATTTTTTTAATGTGAAAGTGCCAGAGTGTCAGTTTAGGTCAGCAGGAGTTGTCCTAAAGTGCTTTAGAGGCATGTAGTGCACAAAAGCTGTGATCGTGTGCTGCAAACGATGAGACAAATAACCAAAAACCACGAACAAAAATCCTGAAAATTGTTCTTTCTGTCACTGCAGACAGCTGAAGAAGCTGAGCGAGGACAGTCTCACCAAGCAGCCAGAGGAAGTCTTTGATGTCTTGGAGAAGCTGGGTGAAGGGTGAGTCATGTAGCCGTACAGTCTGAGGCTCACCTCGGTCCTGACAGGAGCAAAGTTTCACTTTGCCTGTATTTACGTGTCATCCTGGTCTGTGTTAGTCATCCTGGTCCTCTCCGTATCTCTGTCCTTGTTTCTGCTTCATTTCATCTCTGTTCCTGTCAGACTTCAGGCTCCGCCCTCCTCTGTTGCCTGTCAACATTGAGAAACAGGATATGAAGAGGCAATGTGCTTCCTGTTCCGAGCGGTTGATTGACTCCTCGCCTGCATGCGTCATAGCTGATTCCAGACATTTCTTAATGATCCTGCAACTAATCAAAGTCATTCGGTGCTGCTCGATTTTTGCAATAAAGACGTCTTATTAGTAACGCTGGCTTTAATGAAACTATTTTTTTCATGCCCGTTTTCTTTCATGCTCATATCACAGCTTTTTCTCACTCGTGCTTCATCTGTCAAAGTGAGAAAAACTGTTGGTGGGAAAGTAATGAAATAAATTGAATAGTACACTGTTTACTATTGACATCAGTCACTAATGAATGTGTCTGTGAAATCTTTCCACTGCAGGAACTCGCAGACAGTTTTTGGGCGGCCACACCTTTAAGTGTGGGGACCCCCCCGAGGGCTATTTTCAGTGGAGAAAGAGAAGAAGGACCTCTTCTTAGACAGTTACTTGAATTTTGGTTTCCAGCGATTGTGAAAACAAAATAATCAGGATAAAAGGTTCACAGTTTCTATTCAGTTTTGCTACAACCCTCTCATATTTTTCCAGTGTTAGAAATGAAGCCCACCGCTCTCCTATACAGAGGTGTGCTTTTCACTTGCTGTCTAGTTAAGCGCAGTACAAGATGACTGAAAGAAAGAGTTTATCTAGGGAAAGAAAAAGTTACAAGGTTTCTGAAGGAAGACCTGTGGAAAGATCGTTAACAGGTGCGTTTGTCTCTAGATCGCTCAGCGTCTTTCACCTCAGAGCTGAGTGAGTTCCAGTAATACGGTTGGAAAATCAGGAAAAAGAGGATTTGTTGCTTCTTAGCACGTTACAGCTATTCACAGATCAATATTAATAAAGCACAGATTAGCTTTGACCATTTTCCATCCACTGTTGGATCCTTAACCCAGGATTCGTGGGGCTCCTCTGACTTTCCGAGTTGGAAATCCAACTTGAGGGATCGTTCCATTTGAAAAGCCCGACTGGGAACTCGGACATTATGACTTATATAAGGCTGCTGTTGCCCACCAGCTGGCCGTCATGCAGGTCCTCCGAGGCACCTGAGCTCACAGCTTCTGCTTTTTTACTGCTTTGTGCACCTTCACACATCCTGCTGTAAAGGCCAGCACGGACAGACGAGCGTCCCTTAGACTGAAAAAGAAAAAGGCTTCTCTCCCTTTTCAGTAAATGTAATCTGTTACAATGAAGTTTATAAGTTCAGTAACTGTCTGTGTTTAAGTTAATGAAAATCATTTAAATTCTGTTATAATCGAGCAGCCTCACCAACTCTTGGGTGTGGCTCGATACTGTTTGGTTAAACTTGGAGATGACAACTATCTGCTCATTGATCTCAGTCATTAACAGCCAAAAGAACATGTTAAGCCTTCTCTTTGTGTTCCTGCAGGTCTTACGGCTGCGTATTTAAGGCTCATTATAAAGAAACTGGGGAGATCGTAGCCATCAAACAAGTTCCTGTGGAGTCTGATCTGCAAGAGATCATCAAGGAGATCTCCATCATGCAGCAGTGTAACAGGTACATGCGTTACTGAACTCAATCCATGTGCCATGAAACATAAGAAAAACCCAAAGGCAGTAAGAGCATCACTGGTGTGACTTGGTGTTTTGTGTGGTCAGCGTTTTGCCGCTCATCTTTTGCACACGTCCTTCCGCCCTGTAATTACACACGACCTCAAACTGGATTAAAAAAAGTTCCCCGTAAGAGAAGTGTGGGCGTAGATGTTTGGTTAAATTGCTGAAAAGCAGTGAAGCAGATACTTTTATCTCGAAACATTTACAGTAAGTGATTTCAGCCTCTGCGGAAACATTTAGAAAGTTTCATTAAGTTTTTCTGGGGGGGCTTTCCCATAAGGTGACAGCCCCACCTCCACACCAACTGACTCTTATATAATTCTCCAGGGGAAACACATTATTATGGTCTGTTTCTCACTGGGAAGTGTACCAGACCTGCAGAGTCTGTCATATAAAAGTGTTTACTGAGGTTTTTCATTCATTGCTGCAGCAGCTATAAATAGACAAGTACCAGCAGCTCCAGAGTGTTCTTCAAACGTGAGCGACACTTTCACTTTGACTCACAAACCTCATCAGGGCCTGGGGATGCTGTACTACTGCACTCTGTCTGCTGATCTGCAGATAATACAAACTGTGATTTCCACTAGAAAAATAGTGAGATCAGTAAAGTATTACATGTAGTAACAAAATAACTATTACAATATTTCATCAACCTCAGAGGTTCTGTGGTAGTTTTAGTCCATTGTGAGTTAGCACAAAACTAAACACTTTGAAACAATAATAACTAAACTTGAACAAACACTCTGAAACTAACCACAGATGTCTGTAAATTCACTTCACCCCTGTGTGATTGCACCACAACTCAGACGTGAGCTGGCCGTTTCATAAGGTCACATAAGGTCTCCTGCTAATGTTGAGCTCAACTTTAGGAAATAAGTTTCATCAGGGAGAGAATCGTAGCCTGACTGAGCATAAAAGCAACACATTGAATCTCAAACATCCTGAAATAAATGGATGAATGTGGTCTGACTCACCCATGTCCCTGTGTTCAGTCCCCACGTGGTGCGCTACTACGGCAGCTACTTCAAAAACACAGACCTGTGGATCGTCATGGAATATTGTGGCGCTGGGTCCGTATCGGATATCATCCGAATACGTAACAAGACGGTAATGTAACACCCAGACACACACACGCACACACTCATTCACATGTAGTTTGCATGGAGCACAGCGTGTGTGTAAGGCTTCTGCACGACTTCAAGGTTTTCGATAAATGAATGTTAGTCTGATGCATCTCTACGGTTTCAGTTTAAGAATATTTAGATGTGCCTCCTCCACATCTTGTTTGAACATTGCTTTGCATACATGAATCTAATTAATGTTACTTGCGTTTGCCTTGTAGCTCAAAGAAGAGGAGATAGTCACCATCCTTCAGTCCACTCTGAAAGGTCTGGAGTATCTTCACTTCATGAGGAAGATCCACAGAGACATCAAAGCAGGCAACATCCTGCTGAACTCGGAGGGTCAGGCCAAACTGGCCGACTTTGGAGTTGCTGGACAGCTCACAGTAAGAGAAATCAATCTGCTATTGTAAATGCATATGATGTATGTTTGATGTGTTTTAAATGTTTTGTTATATCTGGTTTAATATAGAAAGAAAACACAATTAAACACCAGTAGCTGAATAAAGATGCTATCTGCCCTTTGAATGTTGTAGAAGCTTTAACCTTCTATGCTTTACTTTATGTTATTTTCTCTCCATCCTTCATCAGGACACGATGGCGAAACGAAACACTGTCATCGGCACGCCGTTCTGGATGGCTCCAGAAGTCATACAGGAGATCGGATATAACTGTGTGGCAGATATCTGGTCTCTGGGAATAACGGCTATAGAAATGGCTGAGGGCAAGCCACCCTACGCGGACATACACCCAATGAGGGTACGGATCGTGTTAAAACTTTATATCAAAAAGCTGAGTTTCCTTATGAGACCGCAGTGCACGACCGGATGAGTAAATGGAAGAGGTGACTGACAGAGAGGCTCGGCTGAGTGAAAAAAGGCTGAACTGCGTCACTATTTTTGTTGAATATATTTCTTTGTACCTTAGCTGGGTTCCAGAGGCAGTTTATAACTTTTGCGAAGATTGAGAGATTATTCCAATACGCTGCATTACTGACGACTGCAGTCAGTGCTCTCAATGGTCAATGGTAACTTTAACTCATGTTCGCTCTGTTTACGTAGCTTTGTTAGCTCGGTCATTTAAATATAGGCTGTTGACAGAGTAACATTAAAGTTTGGTTTAAAAGGTTAAAACGATGCTTTGTGTAGTTGTGTCAAATTGTATGCACTTGTGGGAGTTATATGATACGTTTAAGTTACTATACCTAATTAACCTTAGCATAGCTTCCCGTCACACATGAACTTAGCTGAAACTCCCCACATGCATTTGGGCAACAAAATAGAAAAGAGTGTGGCTGCTGCTGAGCCACCTCTTGGTCCTCCACCAGCCAAAACAACTTGATCAAGTTCTGTGTGGAAGCATTCAGTCAGTGCTGCAGATGAAACCAAAGTGATATGTGATGTGTGCAAAAGTCAGATCAGCAGAGGCAGACATATCAAACATCTGTCAACATCTGTTATGCGTAATCACATGCACTTAAAGCATCCTCTCCTGGCACTGTCTGCCAACCCCCCCACAAGCACCAATTCATCATCACAGCCATGTTCTGCCCCTGCAAGTCAGTTTCGCTGTCTGTTCAGTCTCCTCCAACAGGACGGGTGGTGGTGGGTTCATAATGTTCATAATGGTATTTTATCAGTTGTTGGTTTGACCACTGATGAGGTAATGGCTGTTATGTTATTTTCTTTTCAATGACGTTCCTTGTTACATGTTCATTGCTGGATTTATGGAAAAACATCAACTAATATTGCATATCCATAATGATTATGAAGGATAGTGCAAGTATTCTTTAATTCTATTACGTTAATTAAAAGTATAACGCAATTTTTTTTTAATTTTACTTGAATACAAATACAAGTACAAATACTTTCCCCCTTCAACAAATACAAATACAGATACCAGCTGCTTTCTACATCTCTAGTAGAAAGCAGTGCAAGTGTGTTTGCACTGTGTGTGTAAGCCCCAAAAATAATAACAGCTGTATGTGTGTGTAAGAGAAGACAAAGAGAGGAAACAAAGGAGTGTGACATGAATTACTGTATTTAGCTGAACAGTGATGGCTAGCTGGTTTTGCCTTCAGTGTGCTGAACTGTTTCCTCTTCCAGGCCATCTTCATGATTCCCACAAACCCTCCACCAACCTTTCGGAACCCGGATCTGTGGTCTCCGGGCTTCCGGGACTTTGTCAGCCAGTGTTTAGTGAAGAACCCAGAAAACAGAGCTACGGCCACACAGCTGTTACAGGTAACGAAGCAATCCTGTAACTGACAACATGACCGTGTGATCAGAAAACATTCAAACCTTTAGATATCTTTAAATTAGATTTTTAATTATTAAAGCCACACTATGTAAATGAGGTAATAACTATTAAAAAAATGTGCTCATTTTTTAATCTGTTTATTATTTTTATTTCTGTTTTATTGTGTGACCTGCTCTTTAACTTTTTCAAATCAAATGTATTTTTATTTTTAATTTTTTAATTTTTTTGATTTGATTTTTGAATATTTTCTTTTTTACATTAATGAGCTTTATTTTTTTGATATTGTCTTTTAGTGGACAGCTTCACTTAACCATTCATTTTATTTTGTTCTGTTGCTGGCTGGAATTTCAGTTTAATACATCATATTATAGTAGTATTTTTTACATAATCGTAGTATTTGCTGTAATATTTGCTATTGTGGTCATGCTTTAGCTTTCATGGATCATTTCTTATTGTAACTAATGTCAAAACCCATAAACGTTTGGTTTGAGCGTTACGTGTGTTTCTCCTCGACAGCATCCGTTTATTAAATCGGCCAAGCCCAATTCCATCCTCAGAGCTTTGATCACAGACGCCATGGAGATCAAACTGAAGAGACAGGAGGAAGAACAAAGAGAGCAGGATGCAGACGACGATGAGAATTCGGTACAGACTCAGCAACTTAAATATCAATAGGATAGCATTTACAGCTTTTAAGTTACTGCAACAAAAGAAGACGTTAACTTACGAGTGTTTTTGTATTTGACGAGCTTTTGATTTCTAACTTTCCAAAGCTAAACACAGCCTCATATTTATAAACATGTCCTTTCTGGATGTTGTAACTGCCGTTGGAGAGCATTAAATCACGCTGCCCTCTGCCTCTGTGTTTCAGGATGAAGATGAGGTTGACCAGGGGACGATGGTTCGGGCAGGTACGGGTGACTCGGGAACCATCCGGGCTGCCGGTTCTTTAGGAAGTTCTCTTGGAAGCACCGCAGGAACAATGATTGAACACGATGACATGGGAACCTTGCAGTCACAGCTGGGCACCATGGTCATCAACTCTAATGATGACGAGGACGATGATGATGACGAAGATGCTGGCACTATGAAAAGTAAGTCCCTCTAAACACATGACATGCGTGCTGAAGTGATCGATGAGGGCTGCAAAATCAACTAAATTCTGGCCTCTGATCGTAATCAAAGTTAACTTTATACAAAGTGTAGTAGTAGTAGTAGTAGTAGTAGTATAATAGTAGTAGTGTTGCTTCTCTGTGATGTTTGGCTTTGAGGAGCTGGTTGTCTCGCTGCAGAATGAATTAGAGATTAGTCGAGTGACTTCTCAGTGCTGAAATCTAAATATTTAAATTGGGTAAGTGTTTGCTCTGCACTCCTCAGTGTGTTTTTAGCTACAGTGAAATGTGCTCGTACATTTGTGGAGCTGTGCCTGATAAATGCAGTGATAAATTAGCTCTCAGTTTACTGGAAAACATGTAAGAGGAACCAGATGATGACGTGCTTTGGCATTATTTTTAAACAGACAGCATCAGTGTCACGTCATCCCTCTCTTTCATGCACTCAGGGTTAGAATAATAAGATCGAGACATTCAGAACCGTGTTCATGGACATGCACTGTGTGATATTCTGCCTCTGTGACAGGCCAGCGGGATTATGACAGAGAATTGAGTGAGCTGAACTATGTGTGCAAACAAAACCGAAATAAAAACAGAGATTTTAATGGCCACTTACAAAACTAAAGAAAACAAGCCTGAGCTTTGGTGCATGTTTACTGACACTGGGATATCTATCAGACAAATACCACACATTATAACTGAACCAACAATGAAACGAATAATGCCTTCATGTATATGCATTGTTCTGCAGAACATGCAAAATGCTTGAAATTGAAACAAAAAGCTCAGAATATTCAAAGGCTGGAATGACTGCAGGTGCAACGCAGTCATTTTTTAGCCATAATATCCAAAGATGCAGCTGTAGTGTTTAATTTGTCCACGAGGGGGCAGACTGTGCCCGAGCTGTGAACCGACAGGTTCACTGTGTTGTGTGTGTCGGTGTTACTGAGGATGTTTCCTCCAGAGGCTTGAACTCTCGTATCACAGTGACTTTCCTCCTAATTCTGGGTGTGTCCGTTAATTCCTAAATTACAAGCACGAACTTGCTGCTGGTGAACTCGGGCGGGATGCGTGTCAGCAGAGTTTGTTCCATGTTTGATTTATACACCAGTGATTTTTCTAATGGCTCAGTGTGTGTGATGTTAGCAGCAGTGATGTCCTGAACACTAACACTTTGTATGGTCACGTGTGATTCTGGGTAATGTAGTTCTGCTTTATTTCTTGTCTTTTTATATAACCTGTGAAAATATATGAGAGACACGTGGCACTCAGATAACCACGAGTAGAGTAGAACAATTATGTAGTGCGATTCTTGGCAGTTGGCCCACCTCTGCATCCAGGGAGCCAATCAACAGCCAGTTGTGTGGCTGCAGGAGAGGTTTTATCACAGCTTCAGCTGTGTGGTGGCAGGTATATCTATTGTTTTATTGGGCCAGTCAATGTAGGTAAATGTATTTATATTTTATTCCCGGCAATCTATTCAGAATATTCATTAGCTTCCTGTTTGTGCAGTCCTCTGGTGGGAGGAGGCATGGGCATTAATCATGTGGATGCTCTGGATTGATCTGTTTAGGCGAAATTATGTGAAGCTGCGTGTTTAATAAATGTGTAACTTTTAGGGGAAAATCAGAAATTTTTCTCTTCTTGTCTGATTTGACTGATTCTGTATGTTTTTGTTTCAGTTACCTTTGAAGTAAACCTTAAGCCATTCAAGCATTGCCTGTGCGCTCCCCCAAAAGCTTTGCTATAACCTTTAATTGACATAACCTGAGGGACCAGACTCAGTTCACCTGAGAGAAACAAAACCAGAGGGCAAAGAGTTAGAACAAAAAGATGAATAAGATCAGACCTGCTGGAGTGTCTTTCAGGGATGTGTTGGTGCTGCATCGGTCTGTTGGCGTCTGTCGACTGTGTGGGAGCTGAAGCGTTGGCTGTATTTGGTGCTTTGGAACAGATTCTCAATAAGAGTTGGACTGAGTTGATCAGTGCTGGCGGTCTGTGGGCGTGTTTTATGTTTGTTTTTATACGCAAAGAATTAACCCCAATGAGACACTGAGCACGCTGACGCTTGACGTGTGCGTGAGTGTATATTTGCTTTAGCTCTGCGTGACTCCAGTAATATGCAGCCAGAATACGCTCTGATGAAAATAAAGCTACTGTGGAAGTTCGTGGCCAAATATCACAACTCCTACACTTCATCTAATGAGAGTTACTTTCAAACCAGGGGAGCGCTGGCCACATTTACTACCACTGACACGAACCGGCAGCATTCAGGTGCTCACTGGACCAGTTTGCAATTCTCCAGTGCCCCGATGAGAAAAAAACCGAAGTAATCTGGAACCACCATCTGTGGAGAAATAGACCTTTTAGATTCAGATATACTCACATGAGCGACATACAACCCAAAGGCCAAAGCTAGTCTGTGAGCCATCTCAGTCCAGACTCTGACCTCCCACCACAGGAACATAAATAAAAGGCAGCGTAATGTTGATGGATCTCAGGTTAAATGACTTTAATAGTTTTTATTTTTTGCATTTCACTGCTCTATAAAAGCCCAAACTCACTTACAGCAACTCATCTCTATCATCTCAGCTCATGTCTAGAGCAAAGACGACTACCAAATTAACATTATCTGTTTGCCAGAGTTAATGTGTGCAGTCGTTTCACAACAAGGAGGTCTTTGGTTTGAATCCCCTGCCCTGCCGTGGGCCTGTATATGTACATGGGGACTCTGACTCCCCCCCCACTGTCATGCATGTTGGTGTTTCTAAATTGTCCATAGGTGTGAATGAAATTGGCCTCCAGGTGGAAGAAAATGGATGGACGAATAAAAGCGAGGGGCTGTTTGTGCAGAGAATTTAACTGAAGTTCAAAAGGGAAATAGATTTTACTGCTGGTATTTTTGCACAAGCTCAAGAAACTGGAACTGCTCTGACTGCCAACCACACGTAGTTACAGAAATAAACGGTCTATATTTGACCCACACAGTAACGGCATGGTTGGCTGTTTCATCATAAACAACGCTGTCCACCACGTGCTGTTTACTATGACTCCAGAAGTCGACTTTCAGGTGTAATTTGAATTATTTTGAGGGCTTAACTGTTGAAGACTTGGAGTAACAGGCTCTATTGGACTGACACACTGATGCTCACAGTCACTGTTAATGCAAGACACCACACTCTCATATGAGACCAGATGTACAGACGTACACTACCACAACGCCACTGTGAATTTATTGAGTCTCCATCTCACACACACACACACACACACACACACACACACACACACACACACACACACACACACACACACACACACACACACACTGTGTGTCTCCGGTCAGACGTCCTGATATCAGGTTAGTATGGATCTCCACAGGCAGCGGTTTAAACTGCATTAACACTGGAACATTTCGAATTCATAATTGCATTACAACTCCAGTGTCCTTCAGTTGTGTGTTTGTGTGTGTGTGCGCGCGCGAGTGTGCCTTTTTCTCTTGTCTTTAATGTGCTCCTCAGAGGATGCCTGTGTGTGTCCTAAGCTAATGACTGTGGTCTGATGCTGAAGGGGCCCTGAAGATCAAGATGAGATATTAGATCAGTTATTGATCCTCCCTAATGCTACTGAAAAATAAAAGGAATTTTAATTTGCAGTGATTAGCCCTTAACTGTGTCTGACTAGAATCCGGATTAGAAACTCATCTCCTGAAAACTGTACGGGACAGAAAACCTCGTAGAGTTTCAGCCAGATCTACATTTAAATGGATAAACTGGTAGAAATATTGCAATTTTTACGATCTAACTTTGTAGTTAGATCGTAAATTTAAAATTTTCAAAATTCTTTTGGGATTAAAACTAAACGAAAGAATCAAATATTTGATATGATACGACATAGAACAACAAGAGTCATTGCTGCCCTCCAGGTGGACTTAAAGGAACACAATTGGAATGAGGTTTTTGCAAATGAAGATTCAAATAGTGCGTATGATGCATTCTTATCAACTGTAATTTCACTATATGAAAAACATTGTCCTTTAATGAAAATCACTAGAAAGCATCACAGATCAAATAAGCCATGGATGACAAAGGGGATAGAAGATGCATGTAAAAAGAAAAATAATCTATATAAGAGATTCATAAAACAGAGGACAAAAGATGCTGAAATAAAGTACAAGTTATATAAAAAATAGATTAGTAAATATTATAAGAACAAGTAAGAAAGAATGTTACCACAAATTATTGGAGCAAAGTAGAAGTAACACACAAGAAACATGGAGGATATTAAACAGTATAATCAAAAAGGGCTCAAAAAATAAGAATTATCCAGGTTATTTTAAAAAAGATAAAGATATTGTGCTTGATAAAACTAAAGACATTGCAAATGAATTTAATGATTTCTTTGTAAATGTTGGCTTTAATTTAGCAAAAGAAATTCCAGAGTCAAGAAATAATAACGACCTAAATAAACATATTACTCAGAATGTGTCCTCCATGTTTATTGGTGCTGCAACTCATA